CCGGGGGAGGCGGGGAGGGGGCGCGCGGGCGGCACGGCGCGCTCCCCGGGAGCCGGGCGCGGCGCGCGGGCCGGAGGAGGAGGCCGGGGCGGACCAACGGCGGGAGAGCTTGCGCGCGAGGCGGGCGAGAGCCGAGGGCCGCAGGCCGTAGTCGCGCTCCAGCTCCTGGCGCGAGATCTCGATGTTGCCGGTGTACCAGAGGATCCAGCCGAGCAGGCTCAGGAAGACGAGCAGCGCTCCCGAGTAGATGAGCAGGTCGCCGAAGTCGCGGCCGCGCACCTGCAGCTGCGCGAACACGCCGGTCAGCAGCGCCGCCATGCCCGCCACGTCCAGCGCCACGGCCAGCAGCAGCGCCATCCGGCAGCGGCCCAGGCCGGACGCAGGCCCTGGCGCGGCGGCCGGCGGGGACGGTACACCCGGCGGGGGCCCCTGCGGGGCGCCCACCGCTGGCGCGGCGGCCATGGCCTTGCTCCGCCAAGCTGGCTCCCCCGGAGAGCGTTCCGGGGTGCGGCCGGGCCCGGGGCGGGGTCAGGGGACGGCGCCAGGTGTGCCCGGCGCCCTCCTGGTCACCTGAGCTGGCTGGGTGCAGACCGGCCCGGCTTGGGGGAACCCTGGCCGCGGTTTCTGAGCACGTCCCGGCCCTCAGAGGCCTGTGCTGGGGGACAGCCTGGCTCACAGATAAAGGTGGGAGGGGCCTTATTCACCCCCAAGGAGCATGAAGGATCAGGGTTGTCTAAAGAGGCAGCGTGGGGTGCTATGGGAGCCCCGACGTTGTTTCTGCTCAGTGCCTGTCACCGGGGCCCCCTGCGCACCAGCGCCCCACGGCTGGGTCAGGCGTGGAGGGGGTGGGGGGAGAGGAGGCGTCAAATACAAGAATCAGACAAGGCCCCTGGACCCCAACGAGTTCCGGGAGGCAAAGAATCAGCAGTCAGGGTGCCCTAATGGAAGAAACATGGGCCCTACGGAGCTTTCTCTCACTCATTGCCTGTCTCCTGGGGCCTCTCGTGCCCCTGGGAATGAACCTAGAGGCACGAAGGTGGATGGTTCTCGCAGCCCTGTGGACACCAACCATTAGATCCTGGGCGCTCTGGTGCAGCGCTGGTGGTTATAGCGGTGAGCACAGCTGCCTTCCAGACTCTGGGCGCTCTGATGGGGGCAGCAGGCGGATACCCTGGTTCCCGTCTGCTCAGGAGGTTTTCCCTAGTGCCTCTGGACTGCCAGGACTCATTCGGGGTGAAGCCCAAAAGCATAGAGAGGGACCAGAGGAGGCTCCTGCCCTCAAGGAATTCCCAGAAATGATCACATATCAGGGTGCCATTAATAATGGGGTCGACCTAAGCCATTGCCATTCCTTTTAGTGAGCTGGGGTCCCCTGAGATCCTCACCACCACCAGCAAGCGCCAAGCCCCGTGCTGGTGAGGCTGAAACCACAGATCTACATCAGGCAAAAGATAAACCTCCAGAAAGTTTAACGGGTGTGACAGTGGGCACACTGGAGAGGGGAGAACGGGAGCGGGAGGCAGCAAGGCACGGAGAAGAGGCTGGGCCAACAGGTATGGACCCCCTAAAGGAACCAAGAGCTTTCCCACGCAAATCTCTTTTCCTCCAAGGAACTCGACCTTTAGAGGGAATCTATGCCCTCCTGGGGTGGCAGTCTGCGAGGAGATTCCGTCTAGCTTATCTCTAGACTCTAAACGGTTTAAAAGTTTATTTTTTTTATGTCTACTTATTGTTGAGACAGAGAAAGAGCATGAACGAGGGAGGGTCAGAGAGAGGGAGACACAGAATCTGAAGCAGGCTCCAGGCTCTGAGCTGTCAGCACAGAGTCCGACGTGGGGCTCCAACTCACGGAGGGTGAGATCACGACCTGAGCCGAAGTCGGACGCTCAACCGACTGAGCCACCCAGGCGCCCCTAAGAGTTTATTTTAAAAGGACCTGAGGCCGGCAAACTGAGAGGTCTGTCGGGATTAGCTACAGAATTCCGAATGTGGCCGAATGGAAATCGAGGGTTTCCGAACAGACCCGAAAGAGCAAGCGCCAATAAGAGAAGGCCACCACCCCGGGGGGAAGAGCGTTTCCTGAGATTTCCGAAAACGGCCGAGCGGGCCTCCGTGCCTTCGTCGGGAATAGCCGAGAGGTTACGAAGAGCGGAAGGATCCGAAGACGCTGGAGCTGGCCTTAGGTAATTCACGCATTGGCACCTTCATTCATAAAACAAATGCTTGTTGAGCGCCTATACTGTGCCAAGCGCTGGTGAGCAACCCCGGAGAGAAACCGCTGAGGAAAGGGACTTGGGGCCTCTCGAACTGGACCCACTCGGAAATCCAGCCGTGGAATTCCGAAAACACACGAAGGGCCCCCGGAACGGTGGCGCTCCGCCTCCGAGAACACGCCCTCGGGTCCCTGCCCTGCCGAAGGTCTTGGAGCGGCAGGAGACCAGCTGGCGGAAGAGGCCGAACATTTCCGAGCCGCCTCGGAGGCGGACGGAAGGAGGCGGGGAGAGGCGGGGGCGGTGCGAACTCACGGAGGAAGCGGAAATGCGTGTTGCTATTAAAGGCGTCGCCCCGCCCCCTGCTTGCCTCTTTCCGTCTCCGGCTGCTGTAGGGAGCGGAGGTGAGGTTTGGGTTCTCCGTCGGCCCGCGTGGTCGCAGCACTTTTCCGCGGCCCTGGGTCTCTGCCTTTGCGTGGCCTCAGTCGCTGCGCCCCTTGTGTCCTTGGCTGTCCCCCCCCCCCGACTCCACCCCTGGAAATCGCTGTGAATTCTCGAGTTCTCACCCCCGCATCCCCCGCAGTTAGTCTCGGCCTCCCGAGTTCGGGCCGCCGCCTCAGGTCATCCAGCCCCGTCTGACAAAGTGCTAGGTCGCTGTGTGCCCCTGGGGACCCCTATTCGCCCTGGTTCCCAGTCACACCCTGCCCCTGAGGCGCCGGTCCGGGACTCCCTTTGACTCCTGTCCCTTGCCCCTTTTCCCGCAGCTGCCGCCATGTCCGCCCACCTGCAATGGATGGTCGTGCGGAACTGCTCCAGCTTCCTGATTAAGAGGAACAAGCAGACGTACAGCACCGTGAGTGGGGCTGGGACGCCGGGGTCTGAGGGGGGCCCTCTCGCGGTCTCGGGGCCCCTTCCCTCCTCGCGACCCCGATGCGTTCTCCTTCCCAGGAGCCCAATAACCTGAAGGCTCGCAACTCCTTCCGCTACAACGGGCTGATTCACCGCAAGACTGTGGGCGTAGAGCCGGCGGCAGACGGCAAAGGGGTGGTGGTGGTGATGAAGCGGAGATCCGGTGAGCATTCGCCCTGGCTTGGCTCCGGGCTGCAGGCCCCTCTCGGGTCACAGCTGTAATGCTGTGGAATCGAGGATTCCCCAGATCGGGAGGGAAGCTGTGTGAGCATCTGTTAAGCGTAGCAGGATCTCATCCACACCAGGTGGTTCTAAGGGCTAAGTTGCAGGATTGCACGGTCGTGTGATGTTTTCAGGTTAAGTCCTTGAAGCATGTCGGGGAGGTAGATGTCCCCATTTCACAGGTGGGAAAACAGGCCAGCAGGTAATAAGTGACAGCATGGGAAGCAGCAGTAGTGTGACCCCCATAAACTGCTCTGGGGCCTGGACAGGTGTCTTTAGCAGGTCACGGGGACAAAGTTTCTGAGGCTGGTAAAGGTTGAGTCGGTATTCCAGCTCCACCATCTTTGTTCTTGGGGAGGTGGGGAAGGGGGTTAGTTTCAGCGATGGGAATGAGGATTTCCCTGGGCTCTGAGTACGGCTGCTTTCTCTTTGGGTTTGCAGTCCAGCATGCTGTTCAGTGACAGCAGTGGCCACGGCCTGTTGGCTCTTGATGGGACTCCCTCCCACGCTAGAGGGGGATTACTGTCCCTTCTGAGGAGCACAGCACCCGAGCAAGAGAGAGCTTGGAACGAGCTTGTAGGGTTCCGGTACTCCCGAAAACTCTGTTCTGGTGCTCTGGGCCCTGAAAACTGTACTTTCTTCTCACATTGTTGGGTGGCCTCCCCCGGGCTGTCAAACTGGACTGACATGAGGAGGCAATGTTTCTGCTCTGAGGTCAGCAGCTTGGTCAAGGCCAGTGTTTAAAATCACGGGTGTGGTGCAGCGTCCTTGGTTTCTTGGGTGACCCTTTTTATTACAATCTTTTTTTTCGAGCCTGGAGTCTACCCAGGACCCCGTTGTTCTACTTGAGATCCTAAACCTAGGCCTGCAGCTTTGTGGCACAAGAAAGGGGGTGCTTTCCTTTTGAGCGTGGGTAGCGGGAGTCCTGGCTCTGCCTGTGCAGGCATGTGGGAGGGCAGGTGCTTGGCCCAGGGCTCTTCCTCACCTTGTCCTTACCTGGCCCCTTCGTGGCTTGCCAGCAACTCAGCCAAGCCTCACGGCTTGTCTCACACCCTTGTTCCAGACGGGGTAGCCTGGGCCCTGGGGGTAGGGCAGGAAGAGACCAGACCTGTGGTGTCCAGAGCACTGGCTGCTTGGCCAGCATGGGGGTTGTGCCCGCAGGGCACGGGCAGATAGCCTGTGTTCACCTAACTGTGCTGTGTGCCTGTGACCTTGGATGAGAGTTCTCCTTCCAGTGCTTCTGCATTCCTTTGTCAAGCGAGTTGATGACTGTTAGGGACACGGGAGAAGACCCGTCAGGGTGCTCAGCTGGGTCTGGCCTGTGGCAGTACATGGGTGGATGGCGTTGGCACCCGTGTGTCCGGTGTGAGACCGCACCACCATTGCCTGGGAGGTCCACTAAAGATCCAGACGACGGTCAGGCTGACCCCTGCCACCCTCTAGGCCAGCGAAAACCTGCCACCTCCTACGTGCGGACCACCATCAACAAGAACGCCCGGGCCACCCTCAGCAGCATCCGGCACATGATCCGCAAGAACAAGTACCGTCCAGACCTGCGCATGGTGAGTGGGGCTGCCAGAACTGAGGTGGGGCCCCTGCCGACCCCTCCTTGGGGGAGGGCTGGTCGGCTGAGCCCGTTCCTTGTCGCTCTAGGCCGCCATTCGCAGAGCCAGCGCCATCCTGCGCAGCCAGAAGCCGGTGATGGTGAAGAGGAGGCGCGCCCGCCCCACCAAGAGCTCCTGAGCACCTGTTTCCCCCTCCCAAGCAATAAAGATGTCAGCCACCTCGCCTGGGGCGCCGCGCCTGCGTGTGTGTGCCTGCTTGTGCAGGGTGTTCTTCGCCATAACATACAGGTCACAGCATCCGGGGACCGGAGGGCCCAGGGTGGGGGCTGGTGGAGCCCAGGCCAGTGTTCCTGCCCCTCAGGCTGGGGGTTGGTACAGAGTCTTCCTTTTTCTTTTTTTTTTTAATGTGTATTTGTGAGACAGCAAGCAGGGGAGGGGCAGAGAGAGGTGAGAGCATCCCAAGCAGCCCGACCGGGGGCTCGAACTCCAGGACTGTGGGATCATGACCTGAGCCGCCCCGGTGCCCCTGGTACAAATTCGTACTCTGAACATCACAGGTGACTGTCCAGTGCAGCAGATTAGAAAGTGGATGCTAAACACGTAAAGTTGACTACAGTCCTCACAGTCTCAGACTCTGTTGACACGGGACACAGCTTCAAGAAAGACTGGTGGAGCCTCAATCTCATGGATGAGGATTGGGGCCAAGGGTCGGCCCACTGTCAT